AAATCGTTTATAAAAATGTTTGTGATATTTGAAAATAATCTCATTCCAAATTTCTTCCTTTTAATTACTATAAAGATAATATTAGCTGCTTTAACATTCGTATAAATTTTGAAGATTATAACGTATTTATATTTATCATTAATCATTTTAAGCTGATCTTAAGGTATACGATAGCTATGAAAAATAATGCATCTGATCGTTGTTATTTATATAAAAATGAAAAATTTGCCGATAAAGTCTAACGTCTTTTCTTATTGTTAGACAAATAAATTAAATCGCCGATTTAAGGCGATCCTTTTACAATGTGTTATTATTATTTTAAAAAATGCAGATTTTTAATAGTATCGATATTCCCTATTCTATCCCACTCGACTAAATATAGAATGTGAAGGAATGTACCAAAAGTGTTTTGTGTGTGGGTGTTTCCGATTCGCGGAATCACAACTTTCGGTCACAGTATTAGTCATGTCCGATCCGTACTTAGAAAATCGTATCCAGAAGAAAAAGGCGATAAAGCATTAGTATGCGAGTGAAATGGGAAAGGTAGGAGGGGAGGTGATGAAGGGGTGATGGTATAAGTACGCTGGGATGCGTTCCGTGCGGAGCCACCTCTCGCGCGTTATCGGGAGAACTGAACAGAAAAATCAAAGGAAGGGGCGATTACATCGGATTCGCGTTACCGGGCGTAACAGTACGGCTGTAATCTCATCTAGGCACTCAGCTCGTAGCGACGGTTTTTATCCTATTACGTCACATGAATAAACTAAAGACTGCGGAGCCCGCGATGTAGCCCAGGGAACGCATCGCGCCGACGGGGGAGGAAACTCGACGCTTCGGTCGTTCGATATGGTTTTGGTTTCGACCTCGGTAGTCGGAGAAGTCTGCCGAGGGATCGGAAAAGTGAAGGACAAGATGGACAAGGGAGATGAGAGCGTGGCTGAAGAAATGGGTAGAGAAGAGAACGTGGCTCAACTGTGATTGTTTCCGCTTAGATATCTGCTAGTTTCACAGGCTTTATGAGTATTGCCGTAAAATAGGATGAGTTGAATCGATGAGGTGGATAGAATCAAAACTTCTTTTTCTTTTCTTTCTCGTTTCAATTGCAATAGCAAAAACGGCATGATAAAATCGCTCTAATGTAAATATAAATGTAAAATTTGTTATATTTATTTCCTTTTTTTATGTAAATTACATAATTTGCAATGTCAAGTTGTAAAGAAATTGTTATACATTTTTGCATAACTTGTGAAATAGTGATATCTCGAATTCAAATGCCAAGATTGATTCACTTTGCAATGCTAAACATTTGAAAAACATGCAATTTCAATAAACTTTCTGCTGCCCACAGAAGAAGTTAAATACTAGAGTTTTAATACCGAAAGTTAGAGAATTGTTATTACAACAAGTAAGACCATTGTTCCAACAATTTGCAATTGAAAGAAAAGTAAAAGACAATAGAAAGATTTTGATTTTGAAATAACGATCGCGCGTAAAGCGTGTATTAATTGTCAAAGACCGAGATCTCATTTTACATAAGCTTTTATTTCTCTCTAGGATTGTGCCAATTTTCAACATTAAAAATAGTGACGAATAGCTTTCATGTCTCTATCTTATTAAATTTATGAAGACTAACAGCGTAAGGTAAAGTTAGCGGCATATTCACAACTAAGTAAACTCGCCGTGGGGGTCGTAAGACATTAAAATAATCGATATCCGCTCAGATCCTAGACTTTACTCGAGCGGTTTAATCCTCGTCCTTATAATATCAAAAATTTCTCCTTTCATTTATTTTAAATATTCTTACGTAGAGGGACTTTATCGACACGTTTAGATTCCTCTCTCGCTGATGGCTCGATATCTTTGGACAACGCAACTTCTGTACGATTCGTTTAATGATATTTCGTTCGACCTTGATAGAAAAACATATCGCTCGATACCTACGTGCATACTCTAAATGCAGCGCTTCGGCAAACCGTGGAATATGATTTAAATGAAACCTTGAGACGTTTAATTTTAACTGCATTGCGAATCGAAAGTTATTTTTATTGAGCGCTTCTCGCCGGACACGAATTCTATCGCTACGGATATTTCCCCGACCAATTTCACTTTTGCATCGACCGAAGCTGCATTTCTACGACAGCTCGGTAATGCAATTTAGCGCGATCAGATCGTTGCTCGAGTGATTGTTATATTCACAATGGTGATTCGGCGCAAATAATAGTTTAAATTCAATTATGATAGTCAGTTGTTAGATTGGCCTAATTGGAGACAAGCTTATCAGAACAGGATTGACATAATTCTTTGAATTTGTCGATATATGAGATAAAGAAGAAATTATACAAGCGGAAATTAAGCTTGTTTCAAGTTTGTAAATTGAAAAATGATTTACATATTATGTGTTGCTTTTTTCCATACAATCAGGTTTCTCTTCACTACTTGTTTGACATAAGTGATGCCAATGTAAGTCAATTACTGAGTCAGTTAGTTTTCTTTGATAAAATTATCAATATAGCCACATTAGAGTTTTTTTCAAAATTCTTCTTAAAACGAAATCTAATAGTATTAATATTGATGAACGAAATACTTATTTATGATTTCTTAATTAAGTTCGACTCAACGTTTTTTTAAAATTCTATTTAAAATGGTTTTATATGTAGAGAACAAACAAAATGTGTTAGACTACTATTATCTCCGTACAGACAATTACGTATCAGTATTTTCTGATAAATATTGAAGTATTTTCGATAAAAATATTCTATTTTTTTAAAACTAGTTTAGCATGCTATGAAGGAAATATCTTTCATGATTATTTGATTATTCTGGACATTTATAAATCGCCCACAATCCTTTATCCGTCAAATTGTTTTAATTATTATAAAAAAACCTTCAAAAAAGCCAATCGAATATATTTTAGATCTAACAGTAGAGTCACTTGCCTCTAATAAAGATAATTTTTTTTTAAATAAATATTGGAGAATTTTTGAAATCTTATCTATAGTATAGATTTGTTTTTCAAAATCCATTCATATAATTCTTAATAAAGATACGCTATAATCGCGATGAAAATTTCTTAAAATATTACTTAAATTAGATGCTATTATGTTAAATTATTTTAACTATTATCAAAATATGAATTTTTAATAAATGATTGACTTTTAATAGTTTTGTATTATTTTGAGTTATATGTGATAACAGTGTTTATTATACGGTAAAATAAAATTACTATTGTTAGCATAAACTATTCAATAAATAATATCTTTAAAGTGCCATTGTCACTTTTCTTCGTACCTACTACTCAAATATATTTTTTAATATAAATTCTCTGAATATTGTACATTTACAATGTCACTAGTAGTAACAAGATATAACTTATCCATTCTCGCGAAGAATTTCACTGAATATCTGTTTCATTAGCTAAATGCAATTCTGAAGAAATGGATCCAAACTTTTCCAGAAAGGCGATGATTTATAAATATAGATGCAACTTGGGAGAAATATTGATCTTTCCATGAATCTAATAAAAAGAAACATGAGTTTATACGTATTCTTGATATTTCCCGCAGTTATATTTATAGATATATTCGCACTAAAATTGAGTGTGTCTACATGTCAGCAATAAGTATGAGAAATATGAGTATACAGCATAACAACATGCCGACGCGGTCAAGTGTCGGGCAATGAAAACGAATGAAGAGAAATTTCAACGACATGTCTCGCCACCCTCTTTAAATGCTCCGTAGTGTCGTATTCTTACGTTTATCCAGTTTACCGTTTCAAACGCATTTTAAATAACCGAAAACAAATTGCATATTAGCCGTACAATAACACGTGTAATATATTGCATGCGCGGTAAATAATACAATGTAATTGAATGTAATCACGAATACGTTCAAATATTTCAAATGTGTTAAGCAAGTTTTAAATCTAAAATGTATGTTACACATTGTACGCGGTGTAGTAATCTTTTGTTAGATTAATAAACAAATTATCTATTCAATTTTATTATGAAAGAGAATTGACTCCTTTTAGATTATCTTTCTGATTCTTTGACTATATTAACGAATTTGTGATATTTTCAACTTTTAAAGAATGAGACAAATTATATTTTTAATTCGTCTAAATATATTATAACTTGATATCATTATAAGTTAATTCGTGGAATAATTTAATTCCGTTAACTTTTGTGGTCGGTATTATTTAAATATCTATTTTCATCGGATAATTGAATATGTATCGGTAAGAGTAAGAAAAAGCAGTTTCAGCTTTCTTTATACAAATCTTGTTGCGGCGTTGTTCAAAATTTTTGAGACATCTAATCGACAATACGTACTCTCTTAAAATAAAATCTTGATTTGATTTACTGATCTGCTCATCGAAGCAAGAGACACAATCGATGAACGAAGCTAAATCTCATCCATTACTAAACACATTAGAATATTCATGGAACGTTTTATGTAATGCGATTACTAAGAAACTTAAGATTGATTCAAGAAATATCCGATAAGTATCCTATTATTTTGTTCCTATTATTTTTTGATTTGTATCCTATTATTTTATTCACTATTTGTATCATTCAGGATGCTCTGATATGACAATCGCGATAAATTAATCCGCTGACTTGTAATTTTTAATATGTTATTTTTACTTAATATTTGTTGTGCTACATAAATACAAACAGATTTTTCTATTAGAACTGCCTCTACTCACAATCAGTTACATACATTTCGGTCTCTTCTAGTACAATACGTATAAATATGTACAAAAGAATAGGAAATATATAACTCGTTTAAAAGAAGAAACGACCCATCAGTATTGTGAATACTAATTCGTTTATCGTTGCATCGCGTTTACGTCGCAGATAACGTCGCGACCCGAGATAAATTGTGAAGATTCTCGCGAAGAATTTCACAATAATCCTCGAAACAGTCGAAACTATCGGGCGGGATATGTGTATAAGGTTCGACGAAAATCACAAGTAGGGAACAAGTAGTTTCACTCACCGTAGAGTTCGGCATACATCGTCTCGGCGGCGGCGGCATCGGATCCGGCGCGGCGCGATAAGGCGGCGGCGAGTATCTCCCCGAGGGGAAGCACCCCGGGGCGGTGATCGGTGCCCCGTGGAGTCCCTTGCTCCCCATCATCTTGTCCGGCGAGTACATCATTTTGCGTGCCGCTAAGCCTATCCCGGCTTAAGGGTCCGCGGCTGGTTTCCGAATCGGCACCCTCAGACGGAACGACAAGCGTGACACCAGCAGCGACGGCTGCGCTTCTTGGTTCCAAGACGCATTCGCATCTGTGTGACCAAAGTGTCTGGATATCGAAACGATTTCAAAAAGAGTTGTTTGCACCGTTCACGTTTTCACCGTGCGATATGTGCCGAGCGAAGTCGAGCCACGTCCAGTGAAGAGAACGCACCGATATGATAATCCGTTAAGAGATCTCGGCACCTGTACGATGCACCCACTTATCGTTGGTCTCGGCCGAGAGAGATCAGTCTATCTGTACAGCGACGGAGAACGTTGGAGACCGGCGGTTCCGCATCTCGATCGTCAGTTTAGATTGGACACCGATGGAACAACGTTCGCATAACTGCACAGTCAACGAAGAAGCACCCGTGTGTGTCACCGATGACAAGCAACGATCACCAACGATCGCGTATTCGCGAGCACCTTTCTTTCCGCGAACTAAGATCGATTGCACCGCTACCAGACACTTCACTCGACGTTCACCAGGGTCCACCCTACGACTTAACGTTCCCGCCAAAGGAGGGCCGGAGAAACCGATCGAGATCCACGATCCGAGCGATAAAGTCACCAGATTCTTCGTGTCCCATGAGATTCCCGGGGTGACACCGGCGGAGGGAAAGGGACGAAGCACCGGCTCGTCACTGCCATATACAAGGGTTAAAGGTTACGCGCAGGGCAAGACGCGGACTCTTGTCCCGAAGCTCTGCACTTTTTGGCGCTGACTGGCCAGCGAGGAGCGCTCCGCGGATGAACTCTTCCAGGGGGATGGCAGGAGCGCTGTCCGTGTACGTGGGGTTGCTGGTGGGGTTGCAGCGGGGGTTGGTGGTCCTGGACGATGCGGCAGCGTGGCGCTTGCCCACGACGAGAGGGTTCGCGCTCGTGTACGGGAGGGAGAGCAAAGGGGGTGAGCTCGGCATCAGCCAGCAGAACGGAGAGCTTCGCCGAACGGGGGCGGAGCCTCGCGCGGTTACGCTTGCGCCCCTAATCTCATGCACGTCGGCCATCTTTGCCCTTGCTTTCAGGCCTCGCATGGGTGTCGCTAACCGCGACCACCCGTTTGTCCATCCTTCCCCGTGTGTGTTCGTCTCTGCGCGAGTGTGTGTGCGTCTCGCATCCCTTCACCCTTCCACGTCTACGCTTTGCCCACCACCGCCGCCGCCACCGCCGTCGCCACCACCGCCGCCGCCGCCGCCGC